GTGTGTGTGTGTGTGTGTGTGTGTGTGTGTGTGTGTGTGTGTGTCATATATAGATACATACAAGATCTCCAGATGTGCTATTTATCTAGTTTACTTAGCTGTTTCTTCTGTAAAGCCAAGAGAAATATTAATCATTTCATCTACTGTTAAGGGGATGGTCTTCTTCTCATATTGCAGAAAGGGGCTGGAAAGTTAAGAGAAGCCAAAGTTTTTCCTATTTAAGGCCAAAGCACTGGAATGCCTGTGGCTGAGTTCTGTACAGGGCCCGGGTGCTGAAAGGGCAGGGAACAATCGATGGTGCTATTTTGAACTGATTTTTCTTTCCCCCACATTTTTATTTTTGCACATAGAGTCTCATGTCTAATATTTAGACATGATGAGCTTTGTGCAAAATATAGTTTTGCTCATTCTTGCCATTTTTCAGCCCTCAGTTATTTTGGCACAACAAGATGGTGAGTAATTCATACTTCTTACATTTTTATATATATTTATGTGTATTTATGTTCATTGGTCATCTTAATAACCTGTAAGAAATGAGACTTCTCAAATCCCCCCAGAATATATTTCCATCACTGATTCCTCATTGCCAAAGAGTTAATGTTTTAGCCGAATACTGTAGTTCTGCGTTTTATTAATCCAGAGGTTTATAATTGTAAAATATGCTTTGCTTTTTTCTGCATTTAAACAGACTGAATAATATTCCTTACTTATGTTGCTGTGGTTCTTGTTTGTACTTGCTTTCGCTACCACAGGCACTGGAAAGTTTTTCAGACTATTTCTTTTAACTCTTGGAATAACCTCTTAACATCCTAGCTCTGTGCATTCTGGAAGTCATTTGTCACAAGTCATCAGTTTCTACTTTCAGCTATTTTTTGAATTGTTGCTCTGTACCATATAATACATGTTCCTTTGGCATCACAGGAAGATGTTTTAAAGACTTTGGGGAGGGGGGGGGACTTAAAAGTTCCTGTCAGGATTGCTGAATTCATTTTTTTTCCTAAGACAAATCAAAAAAATGTGTGTAAGCCTGGTAAGTTTCTCCTTTTGCTTTTTGACATAAAGCAGAATGATGAATGGATATATTCATATAAAATCTTTTCAGTTATACATATTCAGGTTGTTTTAAGCCCTTACAGCATCAGGTAATAGCTGGTGGGAGGGTGTGTATGAGAGAGAGGGAGAGAGAGAGCGACAGAGACAGAGAGGTGAATCTGGACTGTAGTGAAAAATCAGTCTACACTTACTCTTTATTCTAAAATGAGTTTATCATGATTAGGATTATAATTAAGTTAAACAGCTGCAATTCTTGAAAGACATTTGATACTTTTTGGATCTGTACCATTTCTGCTTTCTGGTGATTCTAATGAAAACCTTTCATGTCTTACTCTTAAAAAGTGATGTCATCTTTTGTGTTTCTTCTAAATATGAAAGGAACATGATGCGATATTCATGCACTAAACAAATGAATTACTTTATGATTAGAGAGATAATTGGTAATAACATACATTGTACTGCAATTAGACATGGTCAATCCCTTTTTAAGTGGAAAAAATGGAAAACCTGTCTGGAAAAGCATACCTAGAAAGCAACCTCTGCATCTGGGTTTACTAATTTTCCAACAGGAGGTTTTATTAGTAGAGCAGCTGGAGCAGAGTGAGTGTTTCAATCTGAGCAAGTCAAGAATAATACTCTGTAACAAAGAAGCACTTAAAATAAATTCTAAATGCCAAATACCTAATGAAAATTGAGAGATGTTAATATTTCTAAATGCCATTCAAAACTATTAATTTCAAATTATTCTTTTGCCTTTTCAGATTATATTTTTACTGCTGTTGTTAAGTCTCTTTTTTCAGCATATAGATTAAACAGCTGTCTGAAAATGGAATATTGCAGAAGTCAGAAATATGTATATAATAGGTTACAGCAGCAAAGCAAATTCATATGTTTTTCACCATGCACAATGGAGGACTTCTCCACTGATCGCAGTGAAAAATACCCCCAGTTTAAGACCCTCGTCACTTAATAAAATCTCTTGTGCATCATTCCATGATAAACCTTCTCCCCTTAGTTGGTTGTGTCCCGTCTTGACTCAAGTAACCACCAGTGTTAGGCAAAGAGAAACAAGCATGCCAAGAAATGTGAAGGAACAGCCTTAACAGTGTATTTCTTTGCCACATTCTTGTCTCATGGTATGGCAGCATTTCCATACTGGGCTAACTTCCATGAGGGTAGAGAGCTATGGTTACTTGGAAGATAATAGTAAAACACAAGATAATTTATTTGTAAATGGAGATGAAATTGAATATCCTCTTTGGTTTCCTAGAATATCTACTGTTGTCCTCTTCCTGGAATGTTCTCTTCCACAACGTTTTTTAAAAAAGTTTTGTCATCTAAAAGAGTAGCTTTTTTTGCCTTTTTTCCCCTCATCATAATGGACATGCTCAAAAAGCCTAATAATAAAAATAGAATTCAAATGCTTAAATAGTAATATTGCTGATGCATGTATAATGTAGTGATGAGCTGCACTAAAATGTCCGGGTTTGAAAAGAAAAATTCCAGACATGCTGAAGTGCCCATTTTTCAAAAAATATGATGTGATTTGTAAATCATACAATGTAAGGAAATACAAGATTTTCCTTGCAAAATATTGCTTAAGGAAGCTACTTAGTGAACAGTATGCTTAGAAAAGTCAGATGTAGCTCTGAGTTCTGCATTTCTTTGTTTTGTTGTTTCCAGGAATGGAAGTTAAAAATCAGTCTAAGAAAGAATCTCCCCTTTTTTGGCTCATGGCTATTGTAGAAATTTGAAATTTTCCCTCAGTAGCACTAATAGAGTTTTGAAAATGTCCTAGCAATTTAGTAGGGTTCTTTTATCTTGTAAAAATGATTCAGCTTGATATGGGTTAAGCCTAGTTTTTCTGGCCTGTGGTATCATAACAAAGCGCCACCTGGTGGCTGGCAACTCTTTCGCAT